CACACACACACACACACACACACACACACACACACACACACACACACACAATCAGAAATTGCTAGTACATTTCACAATAACTTTATTTTAAATAATATTAAATCTTATAATATCCTATATTTTTATACTGATCTAAAGGAGAAATAAAATCACTTTTGAACCCCTCTTCTGAAGTAGTGGGAAATTACCAGGTGACCTTCGGACAATGATTGTTTCACAGTACAATACATTGGCAATTTAGATATGACTAGTTTCCCTTCAGCATGAGTATTTGAACTTAAGTGGAATCGTAAGGGAAGAACTCTTCACAGGCACACACTACCAGCCACTAGCTTCTGTCCATCAGGGTCTAAACACACAGAGCCTGAAGGAGTATAAAGGGCTCTTTCTGTCTCAGCTCAGGGCCAGAGCGCACCGAGAGCTCAGTCACTCAACATACAACCTGTGCTCTGTGTTCAACAAAGAACTCCCACAGAACACATTCCCTCAACCTGGGGAGTGAACATGAGAAACAATCGAAAATACTCAAATTGTACGTTTGAGAAGACTCTATGAGGTAAAAATTTCTAGAGAGTGGCAGGACTGTCATTCTGGAATTGTAAGCTGGTTATTTTCACTGTGGTCAACCATGGAGGGTATACCAGAATGAATACTGGTTAAATATTGCTTCCATTTTAAGAGCATCTGTAATGTCCACATTGTGCACGGAAGTCAAACAGGGCACTGCTGCTAACTTTATTTGAATAAATAGACATAATCAGCATACACAAGTTTGAAATAGCTATGGGCACAGGTTCATAAATGCCTAGACCTTTGTTGTGATGCCATTAAACATTTAAAAAGCCTGTGCTGGAAGCTTAAGAAATCATATACAGCTTGTTGACTATTGCTGATTTATACTTCTTTTTATAGCATAATTTAAGTGGTTTAAGTGTAAACTAAACCATGTTCAAATGCCTTTAGTTTATTGTGCATGGCGCTAGAGGTCAAATTTCAGTCTAACACCTAACAAAGTGGATCACAAACTGGGCAGCAGCAAATCTCTACAAATATACCCTCACATTTCAAACTGTTCTTACATCCTTGATCACAAACACACTACATTACATGTGGTAATGGCTCTTTCCTCGTGTTTAGCAGTGGTTGGAAACTCACCCCAGGGCCCTCAGAGTTATTCAAAGCTGGGTTGTAGATGTCAAATCTCACAGTAGTTCATTCACTCTTACTCAGGAATGCCATTTTGTTTGGGCAAGCATTCTAGACCTAAGGAAGCGTCAAGTCCATTACTTCAGTATGTATAGAATATAACCCTATACTCAGTGGTGGTCACAAAGGGACCTTATTTTTGGTCGTATCTAGTACTTTTTTGAATGAACTGTTGAGGTGGGCTGGTGAGGTTAAAAAGTGAACTTAGACGTGGAATAGACACTATTTGAAGAACTTCTGTAACATACAACTTAAGTAAATTCACATTACTAAAGCTCAGGAAGAAAATCCAGTTTGAATTGGAATGACAGGAAGAGGAATGCTGAATTTCAATTAAAAGAAATTCTAACTTTTACAAAAAAAATGCATAATTAAATTTGTAATAATTAAACTAATTATACTCTGATATGTTTTAATATTTTTGTAAAATTAGACATGCTTAGACTTCTAACTTCATTGATTATAATGAAATAAATTATAAATATTTAAAAAATACATACATATAAAATTGATATGTATTGTATTTGTATTGTATTAATTCTAAGTACATATACATAAATATATAAATGAAATACAGCTGTGTTATTATAAAAATCATCAATTTGTTTTGTTTTTTAGGAAATATTCAATTTGTTGTGTGTGTAAACGTGTATGAATTTCTTTGAGTTTCATTCCACTGCATTCTGCATCCTATTTGAAGCTTCAAATTCATAATTTAAATTTTAAAAAGTCATTCTCAATTAATTTCTGAATGCCACACAGCTTACTTTTGCATCAGGTCCACAAAAAGCTATGCACTAGCAATCTTATAAAACCACACGAAGAACATATGTTATGACACATAAACCCACTATATTTAAAAAGCAATTTGGTTTCAGCTATGGCGAACCGCATCGGGTTTTACATAGACTGCTGCAACACTCCTGGATCGCTGAGGAGCACCAAGGACGTATGGCGAGTAATAACTGTAGAGAGAAAGTAGATGGGTGGTCTGGCACTGCAGGAGGGTATTCACAACCCCCGAAAGTAGCCAATATGGACAAGTCCATATAAAGATCCATTCGTCAGGCCTTTTGGAACATGAAATACGATCTTGGCATCGATAAGATCT